AAAAAAAAATGAGTAAATTCTTTATGTCTTCAATGAATTTATAAAATTTAAGAAATACCTGTTAAAATGTGTGGTAAAATATGCATTTAGAATTGATGAAATGTATAGTATTCTCTACACAGAATAAATAAAAACAGCAAGATTGAAAGCTTTGTATGCAAAGTATTATGTACTTATATTTTTATACAAATACCTACAAATGACAGACATATAGTTCTCCAGGAACTGGGTGATAAAGACAGAAAGACATGAGGGTGATTTTCAACTTATTCTTTGTGGTTTTTGAATTTTTGTAATGAAATTGTGTCACTTACTCAAAATATAACTGTTTTCATCGACTATAATGTAAATCACCAAAAAAAAAAAAAAAGCCAGTTTCAAAAATAGACTTTAAAAGTTTCTATTTTCCTCTGAATTTGAAGTGAAACATATGTAAAATCTGGCTTCAAATGTTTTGGTTAATCTTATGTATGTAAAACCAAATAATTGAATTTAAGATATTGTAAAAGTTTTTTTTTTGCCAGTGAAGATTTCTTTTCCAAAATATTTATCAACTTGAAAGTATATGGTACTATATTAAAGCATATTAATTCCATATAAGAAACTCTGCTCTTTACTAAAATCCAAGCATAAGAATGAGGATTTAGAGCTGAAACCAAAGTACTTTCCATTGCTATGACAACTATCAAGATGCAAATGTAAAATGTTTGCTCTAAGTGAAGAAATTGTGTAATAGTTCCCTCTAGGTATTCCAAGGGATTATGAGCTATTCCTAGTAGACAAGTCTAGGCTGGTTTGCTTCTACCATTCAGAGTTGGAATAATGTGAACTCTTTAAGTTGATCTGACTTAGAAACTGAAACTCATCATTTTTTTAAATTTAACATTTTTAAGTTATAAAAGTGGTATATTGATGAAAACACAAAAAAAAATAAAGAAAAAGTTAAAAAGAAACTTTTGTCAGTATGTGTGTATGTTATGTGGGCTTCTATACACACTACAAGTGTGTGTATATATTAATTACTTATAAATATCATGATTTTAGATGTATATGAGACCATGATACTTAAACAGTTTTATAACTTGCATTTTTCACTGAGCCTTTCATTAGCAATTCCTGGCACTAATTAAGGCATTCTTAATTTAACTAGCCAATCCCTTTGCTGGACATTCAGACTTCTTCCAGTTTCTCTCTATACACAGTAATATATGCATAACAATACTAAGATGAGCACCTTCATTTGCTATAACTTTTTGTGTCTCTATCCCCTTAAGGGGAAATTCCTAAATGTGAAATGGCTAGCTGAAAGAAAATAAACACGTAAACCTCCTCCTTTATGCTGCCAATTTACCACTTCATACCCTAGGAAACCCACATTGTTTTTTTTAATTAGCTGAAGCTATAGCACCCTCTGTGAAATGAAACAAATGACCTGTCTCCACTGCTTATGGAAACAACATATTACCGGTCATAATAGGCCCATGGAATGGGCCTATGAAAACTGCCTGTAAAAACAAGCAGGCACACTTGTATTCACAAGAGGTCCAGGGTGCTGGGAAGAGCCCTGTGGACTGGTTTGGAATTCTAGCTCCACCAGTTACTATTCATGTGGCCTTGACCAGGTACAGTTTTGTCTCAACTATTCAGTGAGGGGCTCAGTTCTCTCCTTTGACAAGACCAGCTCTATTCAACACCATGCAAAGAATGCATCTGGCACTAGTGATGGCGGTGCTTTAAAGCTGCACGGTACACAGAGCAAAGCACAGGCTTTGGGAGTCTAATCAATAGAGATTTTATGCCTGTCTGTCCTGATAACTAGCATTGCATCTGAGCCGGTCACTTTCTCTTTGAGTGTTACTTTCTCATTCAGTAAAATCTTACTTTAAATGCCCACTGAAAGGATTAAATAATATGTCTCACTACAGGCACTTAGTAGTTATTTTTATTATTCAAGTTAAAAAAGATGTAAAAATAAAAGAACTGACAAAGCTAAACCAAACAAACCCTAGAACTATCACTGCAAACTTAATTCTGCCAGAGGGGTGGGGTGAAACCAAAGGAGGAAGTGACCTAAGGTAAAGGACTATGGGTCCTCTGACAGTGGGAGTGGTGTAGTAACACGTATCTATCTCCCTAAATAATGAATGGTGTACCCTACAGTGTTCCCTGGATGAAGAGAAAAAAAAATTTCATACCCACAATGAGGAAAATTCAAGGATGAGGAAGGCTCACTTTTCCCCCTCCAGGGAGGCCAAACAGTAGTCTAGACAGCCATCTGTGTGCCTGCCAGGGAAGTGTGTTCAGATGCTGAGCTATGGTGGAAGCAATCTGGACGGCAGAGCTCTCCCAGGGGGGCAGTGGAAAGTTTTGAAGGGAGTCTGATTTGATTAGATCTTAAGGCTGATGGGCAGCTTCCCTGAGGCTACAGCTCATGAGATCTGGAAGCCTTCCAGCAGAGGAAGGAAGCTAGGACACAGGACTTTCCTCCAGGAATCAGCCTGGGCCTCCACTGTAGGACAGACAGTTCAGCAACGACTGAGTAGGCCCATCAGAGGGTCCACAATGGTGAACAGGTTTATCTTAGGGCTCTACTCCCATTTTAGGACACCCACACCTTCCCCCATCCCATTTGTTAGATTAACTAAGAGTTCTTGACTAGGTCAAATTGTTCAACTAAGTTTTTCCTATGACTTCTTTTTCTTTAACACATATATCTACGTGTCTGCTAAAACAGAAGGAAAAAAAGAAATGGGAAAACAAGAATTTACTGATTAAACACTAGTTTTTCATATGTAGGCATTAATAGCTTTGACTTTTTATTGTTTCAGATACATCATAATTGTACTATGTCTTCCTGATTGCATATTGGAATTACACAGTACTACACAGAGTGTGGTGAACTGCAAAAGCATGACTTCCTGGAGGGAATCTTTGAAGACCAATTTATCTTTGTTTAGCATTCAGTTCTGAGAGTGGAAGCATGTCAAAGCCAGCGAGGGAAGAGATCTTCACTGGTTCCCCATTTAAATCAGATACGCAGGTGTAAAAGTGGTTAAATTTTTTTTAACTTGTCACTCCAATGAAAATATGCAAACCCAATTTGAGATCAAATTAATAAAAGTGCATTAAGGGAGTAAGTCTGAACAAACATTTCAGAAAAAGCCCTTGGTTCGTGAATTCAGCGCTATCTATGGAAAATGCCTTAGTTAAAGGAGATCCCAACACGGAGCAGAGTGCCCAGGCAGCTGTGTCTCTAGATTGCCCTGGAACCCTAGCTCACCGCCCCTCATTACCTCAGAGGAAGGAAACCTCAAGCTTCTGTAAAAGTTATGCATCAAGGAACGTGTGCAAAAGAGAAGGAAGTTTCATAAAACAAAACAAAACAAAAAACACCAGCAGAGAGTTACTGAAAACTGGGAACTCAAAATGCTGGTGAATAAATGGTTTCAATTTTCTTCTTTTTCTAATTCCAGTTTATGCATTTCATCCAGAACAGAAGTGTGTGGGTTCACCAAATGTTTAAATATAGCTCGCACTTTTCTTGATTTGCACACTGGTTTACGCTGGCATTGCAAGGCAAGGCCTATTACTTTACAAAACTAACGCTCAAAACTCCGGTTTAGAGTCATTACAAAAACAGAACAAAACAAACAGCCCTCAGCCAAAGCGACCCAAGGAGACACTGACACTTCCTTCTGGAAATCCTCGCCTGGTCCACACCAGGCTAGAAACCTTGCTCCCCTATAGGTTCCAAACCTGAGCTCCCCAACCGGGGGGGTGGACAACAGAAAACCACGCCGCCACCGACTCCGCCGACGGGCCTCGAGGTCGCTGGGGTGATCAGGTCAATGAGGGGTACGAGGGGTCGTCACCGCCGCCCTGAACGCGCCCCAGGCGCTCTTCTCCGCCCTCACAGGCTGTGTCACCCGGGGGACATCTCCGCGGGGCGCTGGGGAACTGCCACTGTCCGAACCCGCAGGGACGGTGCCAGAGGGGGGCCGACGCGGAGCTCTGGGGGCGCCGACCACCCCGGAGGCGCAGGGGGTCTAGTCGCCGGCGGCGGCGGGCGCAGGGGCGGGCCCGCAGGCAGGCGGGTCTGACCGAGCGCCGAGCGGCTGGAGAGCAGGCCGGGCCGGGCCGCGCGTCGCCCGGGGGGCCGCCTGGACCAAGCTGCCGCCCTACCTTTTCCTCGCCGTCGTAGATGCGCACCCCGCGCTGCTGGATCACCAGGGTCTCGTTGATCTCCAGGAGGCCGCTGGTCCACACGAACCGGTCCATGGCCGCTGCCGGGCCAGCCTCCGCCGCTCGCCAGCGCCGCCGCTCCCGGGCCGCGAGCTGAGCGCCAGACAGCCTGCGGCGCCCCCTGGCGGCGGGCGGTGGGGAGGTCGGCAGAGACGGAGCGTGGAGCTGGAGACGCCTGACTCCGGCGCTCTCGGCCGGAACACACGCCGCCCAGAGCGCGCAGGAGAACGCGGGCACGTGTTTGGAGCGCCCCCTGGCGGCCAGAGCGCCTATGACCCCGCCGGGAAGTCCAGCCCATCCTTGACCCTGCACCCGCAAAATCCCAGAGACTTTAAAGGGAACCCCGATTACAGCTTACATTTCCTTACTGCGCATTATTCTTACATGTGGGTACCATTTTCTGATCACTGTCCAGCATATTTCCATGTTCATTAAAGTAACTTTTTTACAAATGAATATAATGAAAATTTATAAAGAAAAATTTTCCCCAAATGAATAGTAGTTGTTTTTGTACAACTACTATTTATATAAAAAGACTTCTTTGTGCCACTCTTTTTCCCCCCTAAGATTATTTTTATTTGATTTCTCAGCCTTAGCTCCATCTTCTTAGATGCCTCCTCCCCATGAGAGTCAAGTGGAGAAAGAAGCAAATGCCAAGGGAAGAGAGACGCCAGAGGTACAAGTAATTGATAGCACCGATAGAAGCCCAGGGAGCAGAAATAAGGAAAGCCAGAGGCCAGGGACGCAGCTGCACGCTGTTGCACTGCTGGCGGATGTCTAAACCTTGTCTCAGTGAAGCTAAGCTGTCCATCACCATCTGGTTGTCTGAACGCCTTTGAGACACTCACCTTATTAGTACCCAAGCAGTCCTTTTGTTTCTGGACCTGTGACGTTCTGGACTCCTTCAGTCTTCTGCTGTGGCTGAATGTAAGTGAGCAATAAGGTATCCCTTCTGCTGTCTTATCTGAAGAAGAAAAATAGACTCATTTGATTTATATGTCTCCAACATTTCAGTATTACCTTAGGAATATTAATAAATACATAATAAATATTAATATTAATATGTTAATATTAATATTAACACAGACCTCAGTATTTCAGTAGTGCTCCCATAATTTCCCTGTGTGATGATTTCCTGTAGCGTCCATGGCGCCCATCCCATGTGCCAATCATCTATCTGCCCTCTAATTTTTTATATATTTTTTGTATATTGCCTTAGAAATGGAGCACCTGTATTTGTACCACAACTGTTTCTTTCCCCCCTTTGGAATTATTTTCTTAAAGTGTTGTTACTGAATTGAGTAGTCCTCGGTTCTTGACTATGAGAAGGAAAGAATTCAAAGTCACTTTCTGGCAAAGCAAAACTACTTGGCGATAGTCCATTACCAGGGCGTCGCAGTGGTTAGTGTTCTGAGAGATGTTTGCGTTCAGCATGGTGGGGTTTCATACGCTCGTGGGGTTGACAAATATAGAGATATCGCCCTCCCCAAGGCTGTCCAATTAGGGTTGTGCTTCTGTCCTTCCAGTGGAAGGGGCGGAGTTTAGTCCTTATTTGGCCATTGGTAGAACCACATGGCTGTCACCCTCCGCAATGTTAATTAGGGGCAGAGATCCGCCAGGGGGATTTAAAGTCATTCCCATCTCTACCATTAAGGTGCTTGGATGTTACCTGTGCCGCAGTATCTTTGATTTTTCCCACAATCAAGTCAATTATCTTAGGTGCTCCTCCCTGTTCTGTTTAACAGTATCTTCCTCAAATAGAACTACTGTCTCAAAGAGTTTGAACACATTTTTGAGAACCTGTTACATGTTGGGGGATCTATTTAACCAGATGCAGTACCACTGGCCAATGGGTCTTTTCCCAGGCCAGATACCCCCAGGCCACATTAGACAGTATTGTCTTGAGTTTTTGCTCCTTGTCAGCTATTTTATTCTCGTTTCTTTTTTTCATTTGGTTCAAACTATCTTTCAATATCTTTTATTTCTTTATTTTTTAACAACTTGCCAGTACTTATTTTTTTTCTTGGAACGTTTTTAATGTAGTATTGTAAGTTTTTTAAAGTAGTAGTGTAGTGTTTTTAATATAGTATTGTAACCAGACGACCAGAGTTCAGGCTACCAAATGCCAAGAAAGTAGAGACAGCTATTGAATCTTTAAAGTGTGCTTTAACCAAATAGCTGGCAATCTGGAAGATGGAGGGTTAGCACCCTAAAGAAACTGTCTTTAACTTTTAATGAAAAGTTGCCTTTTCATAGTGACTTGAACAAAGAGAGTTCAGCAGAAAGCTGGGCTTCACGACTGCCAGAAACCTTCATGTCCAGCCCTGAACTCCTGATCACTCTCCTGGACATCTGGCCTCAGGCTCATCCAGTGTGCTGAGGCTGCTCTTCACGTAGCACTGACTCCCTGTACTACTCCATATATGTCCTTGGGCTGGAAAATGAACTCAGAGCAGATAGGCCATAAACAATATTTCCTACCATACCAGCTTAGCATCTCACCTGATCTTCTCCCTCTCCAGTATAACTGTTCTAATATATACATATTGT